ACTGAGCAACAAACCCCATACGACCCTATCCCTGAAATTTTAATTTTTTTCTCGGGAAACAGGCTCTTGCTAACTTGCTTAGGGCCTCACTCATTGCTCAGTCTGCCTACTAGCTTGCAGTCCTCCTGCCTTGGCCTCTCATATTGCTGGGATTATAGGTATGGGCCACAAAGCTCTAGAATTTAGTGAATTAAAGAGTGATGTTTGAGGAGGAGTCCAAAAGGAGCATGTGCTGAAACAAAGAAAAGCACCAGCAGGAAACCTTCCAGATGACCCATTCACCTTTTGGATTCTTTCTATGTATATTGTTAAATCTATACCTACATTTGTGTAGAATCAGTCTCACTTGAGGGGGAAAAAATCTATAATAAATTTGAATTAATGCTCCTAACATAATTTAGAGCAGACTTCTATTTAACGCAGCATTGAGGAGCTGAGGAACATGAACTCTCATGAATGTCATCCTTCCTAAAACTCTGTTTTATACATTTGAAGCCTAAAGGAGAAAGGTGAAATTCCTAGTCAATAGGATCACAGCTATGAACTCCTGACCTGGTTGGTGTCTTAGTGGTTTTGATGGAAACCACAGCATCGAACAAACATTGAAATGACAGCATGACCTATCTCTAATAGTGCGGTGTGTGTCCCCTGGAATTCCTGGGTTGAAACCTGAATCCCTGAATTACAGGTTGATGGTATTTGGAGGGACTGTGGGAGGTGAGTGGCTCATGAGGACCCTGCCTTCATGCAGAGATCAGGCCATTCAGGGATTAATAGGTGTGCTCAGGAGTGACTTTGCTATCAGAGTCAACACTCTTCAGCGGGACTGCTCTGTCTGGCCTCATGATAGCCTTTCCTACATTATGATGTAGCCCAAAGACTCTTCACCAATGGGCATGCACATCCCCAGGCCATGTTCGTGGACATTCCTGTCTCCAGAACCATGAGCCAAACACATTTTATTCCTTTTTTGGCTTTGGTACTGGGCGTTGAACCCACGAATGCTCAACCACAGAGCAGCATGCCCAATCCTTTTCTTAAACTTCTAATGAGTTTTTATTTTGGGACAGGATCTTTTAAGGTAACTAATTGTCTCGCTATGTGGTAGCAACTTTGCAATTTGCGTTCCTCCTGTCTTAGCCATACTGGCCACCAGGACACGGGCATGCACCAGGACAACTGGCAAAATTTTATTTTTTCAAAAATAGTAACCCTCCAGTATTCTTATAGCATGGAAAAAAAAAATGCCTAGGATGCATGACTGATCTACCTCTCAACTCTGAAGGACACATATATGACTATATATTTTTTCAAAGTTATCACATGTGTTAGAAAAAGAGTCAAAGATACTTTGTAATTTATCTGGTCTTGTGTTAGCTCTCTGAACTGCTGGGCAAGTAAAGAGAAGCAAAGTAAATAATAAGGGAGTGGAGAAGGTACCATGGGGCAAATTAAATTCCCAAGAACCAGAGTAATGATGCCAGGGTGAGGATTCATGCCTCCACTTAATTCCAAATTAAAAACAAAAGCAGAAGGAAGGCCTGGGAGGCTGAAGCAAAACACCAACAGATGGAGGCCCGCCTGGTCAACCTACCTCAAAAGTTCACAACTTAAACCTGGTGCAGTAATGCAGACCTGTAATCCCAGAGGCTGGGGAGGCTGAGACAGGAGAATCCCGAGTTCAAAGCCAGCCTCAGCAACTGCAAGGCACTAAGCAACTCAGTGAGACCCTGTTGCTAAATTAAACAATACAAAATAGGGCTGGGGGTGTGGCTCAGCAGTCCGGTGCTCCTGAGATCAATCCCTGGTATGCCTCCCCCCTACAAAAAACTTCAAAATTGAATAGGAAAAAAAAAATTTTTTTAAACTGAGATTGTGGCTCAGTGGCAGAGTGCTTGCCTCGTATGTGTGAGGCACTGGGTTCGATCCTCAGCACCACATAAAAATAAATAAAAAAATAAAATAAAGGTATTGTTTCCATCTACAACTAAAAAAAAATTTTTTTTTAATTATTAACAATGAAACAATGCAAAAGAAAAAGGCACCATTGAGAATGTACTCCAACAATGGTAGCAAAACCCAAGGTGAATGTTCCCAGGTGATTTTGTCTCTGGCTGGCACTTGTACAGAAAAGAAGAGCAGAAGAGCACTCAGGATCCAGGCTGGTGGACTTGGCTGGAGCACTCCCACCATCCTGAGGAAACAGGTAGCAAACACTGTGCTCCACTGAAGCCTCCTTCCCAGGAGACCTAGGTGTTGGGGAGGATCTGGCTTTTGTGGAGCAAGCTGCAAGAGGCTTGGGTTGCCATCTGGGCAGGACGGGCCACAGTCCTTGAACTGACTCTAGGGCCAGTGCCCAGGTCTCCCTCAGGGCCCTAGGAGAAGGCAAGGAGGCCCAGATCGGAGCCCAAGGATCTTCCAACTCCCTGCCTGCCCCATCTGCCCAACTGCTAGGCCTCCTGGGAAGGAGGCTTGAATGAATGGGCCTCATTGCCTTCTCCCAGGGGCCTGAGGGAGACCTGGGCGCTGGTGCTCTCTCAGCAAAGCACCTGGAGAGCCAAAGAAAGAAGAAAGAGAGAACCCTGGAGAGCCAGGGTTCCCCAGGGGACCAGTAACACTCTTGGGGGCAGGGCCTTGGTAGGAATCTGTGAGGACTGGACCAGAGTAACCCTGTCAAAGGCCAACGCAGGTTACTGAGGGCACTTGCCTCGTGTTTCTCCATTGGAGCAAGACACAGAATGCCCTTTTGTGACATCAGTTTAATAGCGCATGGATCCTGCCTCGAAGCTGGGTGAGAACAGCAGGACAGGCCAGTTTTTTTGGCACCATTGGAGGCAAAGCTGGTGTCTCTCACGGATCAGCTTCTGCAAGACTCTGCCTTTGTGCTTTGGTCCTGCGTGGCCCCCAACGAGGAGGTTGCTAAGCCCAGCTGGAACTTCAGCCCAATAGACCTGCTATTGGCCCTGCCTCCTTTACCTGCTAAGACATTCATGCAGAACTTATTCATGGGGTGGGACTCTATGAAAATTTTTCTTTCACCAGACTTGACTCCAGGCCCATTGTGTGTGCCTCTCCAATTTAAAAGAAAAAAAAAAATTGTCAGAAGAAGAGACACTCACTCCAGAAAGTGTGGCTGACTTGCATTTTCCTCAATCTCGGGAAATGTGCTCCCCTGCTAAAATTTTCCTTTTGGGTTCTATTGGATATCAACGTGAGATCTAACATTCACAGTCCTGGGTTCCATGGCGGGACCACATTGAACAAACAATAACCAAAAAGTCAAAAAGGGCCTACCCTTGGGCTGGGGATGTGGCTCAAGCGGTAGCGCGCTCGCCTGGCATGCGTGCAGCCCGGGTTCGATCCTCAGCACCACATACAAAACAAAGATGTTGTGTCCGCCGATAACTAAAAAAAAATAAATATTAAAATTCTCTCTCTCTTAAAAAAAAAAGAAAACAAACAAACAAAAAACGGCCTACCCTGTTTCATCTTTTTTCTTTGTGAACTCATTTTCCACGTGACCACCTCTTCCCATGTCTACTCTTCACTCAGCCTTCTTCTCTGGTGGTTCCTCATGGTATCCCATTGTCTTGGGCTCTTGGATGCCAAAGCTCAGGTATGCTTGCCTAGGAAAGAGTAGAAAATGTTTACACCAAGGACATGGGGAAGAGGGAATGTAGGCAGCAGGACACTGGGCTGTGTGCCTGACTCACTTCCGTCCCAGATGTAGACCCAGGCACCAGGCCTGGTGGGACCAGTGGGAGGCCTACAGTAGAAGCAGCTCTCCCAGGAGGGTCCAGATGGATCAAGACTGAATGCAGTATGATCCCTCCTTGCAGGTGTGTGACAACAGCAGGACGGGGCATACTGAGGCACCTGTAGGCTCAGTCCTACTGTCCCTAATGCTCCACATTCTACAATAGGACTCTGCATTCATGGTGCTTTGCTCTGACCTGGCCTTAGACCAATAATAGGCCTGGAGGCCTAGATTGGTAATGGGACCTCAGGCACCCCAGGGTCCTGTCTTGGTCAGCTCCTAGGCCTTTCATGCAGGATGGGCTCAGGGGGTGGGGCTTCTTCAAAGGATTTCCTCAGGATGGTAGTATTGCCCCACAAGAGAGAACCAGCCTTCCTTTCTGTTGCTCTGCGTCTACCACTCCAATTTGAAAAATAAAAAAAGGAGAGAAAGAAAATCAAGCCAGTCATTTCCAGAAACTATGGCTCCTTGCATTTGGCTCAATTTGATGTAACATGCTTCACCATTAGAAGTTTGGTTTTCATTTCTAGTGGATGCCAAACTGAGAAGGAATAGGTAAGACCCTGGCTCTTATCTCCAGGAAGGAAAGAAAGGGAGGCAGGCTGGAAGGAAGAGCAAAGCCAGGCAAATTTGCCACGCTGGCCTCCAACATGGGACTCACCCAGTAGCTCAGCTTTCAGTACCTGGTGCCTTTCATTATTCATCAGAAACCATACTAGGGCCTGAATTTCCTCTTCTTTCCTCAGAACTCTTGTCCTGGTAGAACTTCATTTTCCACAGGATTTCATCCATTCAGGTCGTATTTTACACAGTGTCACTGGGTCTGGAGATCCCAGAGCATCACATTATCTCCTTGGGGATCAACTCTTTGGCTGAAAACAGACAACTGTGGAAGCTGCTGAAGCTAGAGGAGATCTTCTCTAGCCAACAACGCACCAACCCAAGTGGTCGGTGACCTGGACATGCTCCAAGACCAGCAGGGATTCCAGCATTCCTTCTGCCCTAGTCTTAGGAACTGAATATGAGGCAATAATTCCTCATGTGCCATCAGAAGAGGGCATGATACATCATTTTCTACTAATTAAACGTGGAACCGCACATGTTCCCATGGCATGAATACAGTTCCCCTATTTTCGGCGACTTTATGGGGACCCTATGTTGTAGTTTATTTCATACATTTTATTTTAGATTATATATATATATATATATATTGCTACACATAGATGAAGAACATGCCTTTACATTATTTGTTTGGTATTTATGAAGTGCTATCCCTAATGCTCCATGTTCTACACTAGTACTCTGCATTTATAGTGCTTTGCTCTGGTCCAAGCTTCACTTAAGCTAGGCCAGCTATCTGCCACTGAGTTTTAGCCCCAGACACTCCATTTTATATTTCATCACATGATTTGTGATATCCTCTATTAGTAGATTCAGGAATGATGCCTGCCAGGGAGTCAGAAAACAGGCATGTGCCCATGAGAAAAAAAGCTCCATCCCCATACTTTTCATCAACATTTCGTCTCGACATAAAAATAAATCTCTATGAAATTTTAATGCATGGGTATACCGTTGTTGAGATTAGACCAGATTTGCATTCACCACAGCTGACAGGACATAAGGTACATGAATATCACCACCACCAAGTCTCCCACCTCAAATTTCCCAGCCTGAAATCTATAGGGGAATGTTGAAAATAAACCCTCATCAATGGGGATTTAAAAAGGAGGTTCCCCTAGCGCTTTTGTTTCAAGTTGAAAAAGTTTCTTCATGGTATGGTTTCAGTGGCTGTGTCCTGGAAATCCTCTGTTGGAAACTCAATTCCTGAAATTATATCTTACTGGGACTTGAAGAAACACCGGGAGGTGATTGGCTCATGAGGACTCTGCCTTCATGCAGAGTCCAGTTCAGTCTACTCATAGACTTATAGGTTTTCTTGGGAGTGACTTTGCTATGAAGGCCAGGTGCTACCAGGAAGCTTCCTGTCTCTCCTTGTGATGACCTCCTCCAGGTTATTACTTAGCAAGAAGACCCTCACAAAAGCTCAGTAGACCCCGACACCATGTTCTTAGACGTTCGATTTTCCAGAACTACGAGGCCGAGAAATGTCTACTCTTTACAATATACTCAGCTTAGGTATTTTTGTTATAGCAACAGAACCTAGACTAAGACACATCAACCTATGCATACGGGTTCTCTAGAAGGCAGAATGTATTAATGCCTGTGTTTCCAAGCTTCTCAAGTCTTAAAAAGAACATAAAACAAACTGAACCGTGTCGTTTCTCTCACCTGGTCTGAGCACTCACAAACTACAGAGGGAGGAAGACTGAGTGCAGTTCAACTCAGAATAGACTGAATGAGCAGGGCCCCCCTGAACGTTCCACCAGAGAGAGGGGAGGCCCAGGGGAGGATGGCACTCAGGCCTTGGTCAGAGTTCAGATGGAAAACAACAGGAGAGAGGAGCTGGAAGCTGCTGCACTGGCACCACGATTTCCAGCTGGTCCTGGGCAACACGGCAAAGCCTGTCTCGGGCAGAATCACGACAGAGGCAAACATCGTGAACCAAAAGCCACAAATACTGAAAAAGCAAAAGCAGCATCGGGAGCTGCTTCCTCAGAACTGGGCCAAGGACAGGGCGGCCATGTTGCCTGGTGCCTTTGTGTGGGTGGCGTTTTTTCAGACAGCCAGGGCGGGAGAGGCGCGCTCAGGCCCAGGGCTGGTGGCCATAGCTGGAGCTCTACCGCCACCGTGCGGAACCAGTTTCAAGACGCCCTGCGCCACTCAAGCCTCCTTCCCAGGGGCCTCGCTGTGGGGAGGATCTATGTTTCAAGGAGCGAGTTCCAAGCGGCTTGGGCTGCCCTCTGGGCCTCCTGGCCTTCTCCCAGGGTCCTGAGGGAGACCTGGGCTCTGGCGCGCTCTCAGCAAAGAACCCGGAGAGCCAGGGACCTGAGGGGACTAGCGGTCGGCAGGAGCTGGTGTCAGAGGAAGTCGTGGGGCGGGGCCTCCATAGGAGCTGCTTGGACTGGAGCGGAGGGACCCACTAAGGGGCAATCCAGGGAGGTCTCCCTGGGCCTAGGTGCCCAGCGCGAGGAGGCCCTGAATTCCCAGAAGCCATGGCCAGGGGCAGCTCTTTTGGGAGAACAGGAACCTGAGCCAGGGCATCTGTTTCCTGTGTTGTTGTTGCTGCCGCCACCTGCTGGGAAGAGGAAATTTTGTGTGCAGGCAGCAGCTAGCTCCAGGAGAGCTGGTCATGCAGTGACAGTTGTGCCTGGCTACTGGGTCTGCACTCATCCGGGGCTGAGGTTGGCTAGGCAGCCCATTGACTGCTGCAATACCAGGCAGCAGCATCTTCCTGCAAGAGATGAGCAACCTACACCCCTAACCCCCGCCCCCCCCCCCCACAGTGCCCAATGGCTAGGCACTGGCAGGACAGGCCACAGCCCTTGGACAGGTGTACTGGGCTACCTGCGGGCACTGGAAGGTCCTAAGGTCCCTGCGGGCCCGAGTCCCTCTTAGAAGGGCAGCCTGTTGCTCTCCGAACCCCATAATAGGGCATTTCCGGTGTATTCTCAGCTATGGGGGCCCAGGCCCCACTGAGCAGCTGACCTGGGAGCGCCCTCTGTTACTCACCTGCAGGGCTGTGAGGCTTTCTGTGACTCACCAGCTACTGAGAAGTGCCCTTCCTTGCAATTACTGAGCCCAGAAGAACACGTTTCTGTCACCTACTATAAGCTGCTTGTGGATCCTGGGGCGCCCCATTGACTGCTGGATGTGAGCCCTCAAGGGGAGGTGGACGACTATCTTTTCCCTCGTGCCTTCTACTTCCAATGATAGAAGATGTCCTACAGAAATAAACGTTTAAAATGCAAAGTGTTAATTATCTGGGACGGGGTCATTCATTATAACATTCGGATTAATAAACACGAAAACTTTCCAACTCAGTAAAATAAACCACCTCTGTACTCTGTCAAAAAAAAAAAAAAGAAAAGAAAAGAAAGAAAAAAAAAAAAAACGGGAAAAAGGCTAATGCAGTCTCTTGAGGGTACCAGCCTTGTGTTGTTCCCCTTGGAACAAGAAGGAACATGCACTTTCTTGATGTCACTGTGCAATGGCACGGGGATCCCTCCTCACAGTGTTGAGAACATCAAGGTCAGGTCTGTTCTGGTGGTACCTGTGTGCGCATTCCTGGTGTCCATCATTATCCAGGTTCTGCAACCAGACTCTGCATTTCTGCTTTGTTTCAGCCTGGCGATACAAAGAGGTTGCGAAGCCAAGTTTCCTCAAAAATTCTGAGTGTGAGAATGTTCCCAGGTAATTGCAACTTTTTTCTCTTATTCTGTGAGCTGCCTCTTCCTATTGTTGGTCACTCCCTTGGAAGCAAAAGGAGATGACTTCCTGACCATCCAGTCATTCTTCTCTCATTTCTGCTTTCAGCAGTGTTTTCAAGACAACATTGCCACATCCATGGACAGCAACATGTAGGCCTACATTTGTCTTTCAAATGCTGTACGTGTGGTTTTCATGAGGAGATCCTTGATGCATTTTAAGTGAATTTTTGCATAGGCTCCACCAAATAACAGCTTTGCAAACATAAGCGTTCTTGGTGCTTGTCTTTAGCAGATCGGCTGCACTGCAAGTTCTTCCAATTCTTCTCTGCCCTTCTCTTCAGACCACCCTAGCCTCCAGACAATTAGGCCTGCCTGCAAACAACTGGACACACTTCTGATGCTGCCCTATGCCACCCAAAACTGACATGTCCTTTGGGCTCCACCTGGGGGCTAAGGGATCCCAGCACAACAGCATGGTGACTTCACATAAGGGACTGCTATATCTTGCTCCAAGGGACCTGAACAAGGAAACAGTATCCACAAAGGCCTGCATTACCCTTTGCAGAGTGTCCCTCAGGTGAAGTCCACACAGTTGAGCAACGAGGCCCCGCCCCACGACTTCCTGTGAGAGCAATTCCTGGCTGCTGCTAGTCAGCTCTGGGCCCCCTGCTCTGCAGGTTCTATGGTGAGGGAGCGCCACTGCCCAGGTCTCCCTCAGGGCCCTAGGAGAAGGCAAGGAGGCCCAGATGGCAGCCCAAGGATCTTCCAACTCCCTGCCTGTCCGATCTGCCCAACAGCAAGGCCTCCTGGGAAGGAGGCATGAATGGCGCTGGGTGTCTTGAAACTGTTTCCGCACGATGGCAGTAGAGCTGCAGACGTGGTTACCAGGACTCATCCTGGGAGCCCTTCTCCCGCCCTTCCTGTCTGAAAAAACGCTGCCCAGAGAAAAAGGCTAAGGAAACCTGGCTCCCTTGTCTTTTGCCCTCAGAGAAGGAACAAGCTATCCAGTCTGCATTTTTTTTTTTTTTTTTTTTTTTTTTTGGTACCAGGCATTGAATTCAGGGGCATTTAAGCACTGAGCAACATCCGCATCCATATTTTGTAATTTATTTAGAGACAGGCTCTCACTGATTTGCTTAGTCCCTCAACTTGCCCTTGCTGAGGCTGGCTTTCAACTGGAAATCCTCCCGAATCAACCTGTGGAGCCACCGCTAGGATTCCAAGTTGCCTTTTTATTTGGGGATTTGGATTAGGATCTTCAAAAACTTTTTCATTTCTTAATTTTGAGACCGGAGTTTCCATGTTGGCCAGACTGGCCCCAACTTGAGGCCTTCCTACCTTGGTCTCCAGCAGAGGACTGCTTTCAGGTTTCATCAGAAGCCTGAATCTACTCCTCCTTCCTGAGGACACCTGTGCGGGTGGAACTTCATTTCCACAGGATCTGGTCCATTGGAGTGTAGCTCAGTGTTACCGACTCTGCAGATCACAAACAGCAAACAGCCATCAGAGGAAAAATCCCTGGGATGAAAGCAGACAACTGAGGAAGCTGCTGAAGCTAGAGGAGATCTTCTGTGGCCAACCAGTCACCAACCCAGGTGGTCAGTGACCTGGCCATGCTCCAAGGCCAGCAGGGACTCCAGCATTCCTTTGGTTTGGTGTCTTGTGAACTAGATTGGTGGCAATAACTTCTCATGAGCAATCCGAGGATGGTGTGATACTTAGACTTTTGCATCCATTTCCATCATTTTCTTCCCATAAAACATAACATTTTCCCATGGCATGAAATACACTTCTACCATTTACAGTGACTCTATGGTGTTGTATCTGTGTATTTTATGTATATTTTTTGGCCATAAATAATTTATCAACTGGCTTACAGAATCATCATTTGCTGTTTTGTTTTTTTTTCCCCCTTCAACAGTAATTTACCCTCGGTTCTTTATATTTCTTGGTTTTTATTTATTTATTTATTTTTTTTAGGGATGATTGAACACAGGGATGCTGAACCACTAAGCAACATACCCAGTACCACTGCTCCACCTCAAAGATTACTTTTTATTCTTACACAGGGACTTGCTATCTTGCTTAGGGCCTCACTCATTGCCGTGTCTGGCCTCTAGCTTGCCATACTCCTGTCTTAGCTTCTCATATTGCTGGGAGTATAAGTGTGGGCCACAAAGCCCTTCTCTTTAGTGAATTGAAGAATGATATTTGAGGGGACCCGGATGGTGGCTCCGCGGTAAAGCGCTTGTCTAGCACATGTGAGGCACTTGTTTAGACTCTCTGTACCACTTATAAATAAATACAAATAAAGTTCTATCAACAACTAAAAGAATTAAAATTGAAAAAAAAGAATGATATTTGACAAGGAGTCAAAACATAAGCATGTGCCAAGAGAAAGAAAAGCACCTTCAGGCAATCTTCCAGGGGACCCAATACTTTTTTGGATTCTTTCTATGCCTGATGATCGATCTACACTTACATTTGTGTAGAATTAGTCTCACTCGAAAGAAAAATCTGTAATAAAATTGAATTAATGCTTATATTATTGTTTGGAGCTGGTTGCTGTTTACCACAGCTTTAAGGAGTTGGTGCGCATAAACTCTCATTACTGTTATCTGTACTACACCCTTTTTACCACCTTTGAAGCCTAAAAAAGAAAAGTGAAATCCATAGCTGCTGGAATTACAGGAGAGGACCACCACACCCGGCGTCTTAGTGGTTTTGATGGAAATCACAGCATCGAACAAACATTGAAATGACAGCATGACCTATCTCTAATAGTGCGGTGTGTGTCCCCTGGAATTCCTGTGTTGAAACTTGAATCCCTGAATTACAGGTTGATCATATTTGGAGGCACTTTGGGAGGTGACTGGCTCTACCGGACTCACCCTTCATACATAGATCAGTCCATTCAAGGATTCGTAAGTTTCCTTAGGAGAGTGACTTTGCTACCAAAGTCAATTCTCTCCAGCGGGACAGCTCTGTCTGGCCTCATGATGGCCTCTTCTATGTTAGGATTTAGCCCAAAGACCCTCACCAATGGTCAAGGAGATCCCCAGACCATGTTCGTGGACACTCCTGTCTTCAGAAACTTGAGCCAAACTTCTTTTCTTTTTTTTTGGCTTTGGTATCGGGCATTGATCACAGGGGTGCTTAACCATGGAGAAAAACGTCTAATCCTTTTCTTAAAATGATTATTATTTTTTATTTCGGTACAGGATCTCTCTAAGTTATTGCTAAGTTGTAACAAGTTCGCAAATCCTGCCTCAGCCACCCAGGCTGTCAGGAACACAGGAAAGTGCCAGGGCACTTAGTGAAATTTGATTCTTTTTAAAACAGTCACCACCCAATAGTCTTATCGAAAAAAGAAAAAAAAAAAAAAAAAAAAAAAAATATATATATATATATATATATATTTGCATACATACACATATGCCTAAGATGCATGACAGATATGCCTATCAACTTTGTAAGACACATACATACTGATGTGTTTTTTCAAAGTTATCACATATGTTAGAAATAGAGTCAAAAACGATTGACATTATTATTTATCTGCTCTTGGTGTTAGCTCGGAGAAACTGAATTGTGTAGGGAGTTACAAGAGGCTTGGGTGCAATCTGGATTTCCAAACATTCTCCCAGGGCCCTAAGAGAAACCTGATCAATGGCTGTCTCTTCCCAAAGAACCCACAGGACCAGGGGCCCCCAGGGAAGCAGCAGCAGCCAGGAGATGGTGTCACAGGAAGTCACAAGGCAGGGCCTTGGTAGGAAGCTGTGTGGACTGGAACAGACAAACCCTCTCACAGACTACTGCAGGTTTCTGGGGGCACTAGCCTCTTGTCCCTCACCTTGGAGCAAGACACACAATGCCCGTTTGTGATGTCACTGTCCTCTCAGCTCAGTGAGAAAAGCCCGATAGGCCAGCTCAGGTGGCACCTGTGTAATCAATCCTAGTGTCCCTCACGGATCACTTCCTACAAGACTATACCTTTGTGCTTTGGTCCTGCGTGGCCCTCGACAAGGAGGTTGCTAAGCCCAGCTTGGATCTTGGACCATCAGACCTGGTACTGGCCCTCCCTGCCTTACTGCTAGGGCTGTCATGCATTAAGTGCTCATGGGATGGGACCCAATGAAAATGTTTCCCTAACTAGACTTCCCTCTAGGTGCTAAACTTGTGCCCCTCCAATTGGAAGAAAGAAATAAATAAAATGGCCAGAGGAGAAACACTCCAGAAACTACGGCTGCCTTGCATTTTGCTCAATCTCAGAAAACTTGCTCCCCTGGTAAAAAATTTCTTTTGGGTTCCATTGCATATCAACGTGAGATCTAATGAACAGAGTCCTGGGTTATATCCAAGGACCACATTAAAAAAACAACAACAACAAAAAACAAAGACTTAAAAAAAAAAACAAAAAACTCACCCCATTTTCATGTTCTCTCTCTCTTTTTGAACTCACTTTCCACGTGACCACTTCTTCCCATGTCTGCATTCACCACAGCCTAGAGGACATAAAATACATGAATACCACAACACTAAGTCCCCTACCTCAACATTCTCTGCCTGAAATCTAAAGGGGAAACTTGAAAATAAACCAACATCCAGGCTGGAGGACATCAGTCAGGTGTCTCGAAGAAGCTTCCTCTCTCTCTCCTTGTGACAGACTCGTTTTTTAAGGCCACTTTAGAAAAGTAGATGATGCTAGCGATTTTCATTCAACTTTAAAAGTCACTTCATAGTATGGTTTCAATGGTTGTGCCCTGGAAACCCATTGTTGGAAAGTTAATCCCAAAATTATGTGTGAACGGGAACTGAAGTATTTCTGGGAGGTCACTGGCTCATGAGAACTCTGCCCTCATGCACAGGCACTGATCAGTCCACTCATGGATTCATAGGTTTTGTGGGGAGTGACTTTGCTATAAAAGCCAGGTGTCTCCAAGAAGCTTCCTCTGTCTCTCTGTGCTGGCCTCTTCCACATTATGATTAAGCAAGAAGACCCCCACCAACCCTCAGCAGACACTGAGGTCCTATTCTTAGATTTCCCATCTCCACAACCATGAGGACAGGAAATGTCCATTTCTTACAAAATACTCAGCTTCAGGTATTTTTGTTA